ATGGGTGAAGAGGAAATACGTGATGACGAAATAGGTGAAGAGGAAATAGGTGAAGAGGAAATACGTGATGACGAAATGGGTGAAGAGGAAATAGGTGATGACGAGATAAGTGAAGAGGAAATAGGTGATGACGAAATGGGTGAAGAGGAAATACGTGATGACGAAATAAGTGAAGAGGAAATACGTGATGACGAAATGGGTGAAGAGGAAATACGTGATGACGAAGTAGGTGAAGAGGAAATAGGTGATGATGAAATGGGTGAAGAGGAAATACGTGAAAATAGGGGTAGATAAAACAGATGAAAATAGAGGTAGATGAAATGGGTAGTGGGTTATGCGATGACGAAATAGGTGAAGAGGAAATAGTTGATGAAAAAAATAAATGAAAATGGGGGGGGACAAGGGAAAATAAATAAATGGCAATAGACTATGGACAGAAGAAGTGAATAAAAGGAGAGAGAGAGAGAGAGAGAGAGAGAGAGAGAGAGAGAGAGAGAGAGAGAGAGAGAGAGAGAGAGAGAGAGAGAGAGAGAGAGAGAGGAAGAAAGAGAGAGAGAGAGAGAGAGAGAGAGAGAGAGAGAGAGAGAGAGAGAGAGAGAGAGAGAGAGAGAGAGAGAGAGAGAGAGAGAGAGCTAAACTGGGTGGAGAGAAAAGAAGAACAATGGACAGGGGGAAAGTAAATAAAAGAATGGGGGCAAATGGGCATGGTTCATCAAAAAGAAACGAAAAATGAAAATAGAGAAATACGAATATGGATGAGGGAAACGGCGAAGATATGAAGATGCAATTGATTTATAATATTAATAGCTTTGGAGAGAGAGAGAGAGAGAGAGAGAGAGAGAGAGAGAGAGAGAGAGAGAGAGAACTGAAAGAAAGAAAGGAAGAAAGAGAGAGAGAGAGAGAGAGAGAGAGAGAGAGAGAGAGAGAGAGAGAGAGAGAGAGAGAGAGAGAGAGAGAGAGAGGGAGAGAGAGAGAGAGAGAGAGAGAGAGAGAGAGAGAGAGAGAGAGAGAGAGAGAGAGAGCGAAAGAGAGAAATGAAAGAAAGGAAGAAAGAAAGAGAGAGAGAGAGAGAGAGAGAGAGAGAGAGAGAGAGAGAGAGAGAGAGAGAGAGAGAGAGAGAGAGAGAGAGAGAGAGAGAGAGAGAGAGCGAAAGAGAGAAATGAAAGAAAGGAAGAAAGAAAGAGAGAGAGAGAGAGAGAGAGAGAGAGAGAGAGAGAGAGAGAGAGAGAGAGAGAGAGAGAGAGAGAGAGAGAGCGAAAGAGAGAAATGAAAGAAAGAGAGGAAGAAAGAGAGAGAGGGGCAGACAGAGAGACAGTAAATTGACTGATTTGTTGATAGATTTGCATTTACCGATAGACAGATATGAAAGAGAGGGAGAGAGAAACGAATGAAGAAAAAGGGTAATTTATACACAAATATATATATATATGTTGACAAGTAGATTGATAGATGTATAGTAGATAGATAAATAGACAGACAAACAGACAGACAGCCAGACAGGCAGGCAGGCAGGCAAGCAGGGAAGCAGGCAGACAGACAGCCAGACAGACAGGCAGGCAGGCAAGCAGGGAAGCAGGCAGACAGACAGACAGACAGACAGACAGACAGAGAGACAGACAGATAGACTGACTGACTGACTGATTGACTGACTGACAGACGGTTAGATAGATAGATCAATAGAAAGATAGATAGAAATATAAACAGAAATTCAAATAAATAATGATAGATCAACAGACTGATAGATACATAGACAGAACGTCATGGAAATATTGATAGATAGACAAACAGATATGTAGACAATAAGTAAGGTAAATATCGATAGATAGACGAGATATGGAGAAAGTTTACGAAAGAAAAGAAAGATAATAAAGTCAATAACAATAAAAACGAACAAAGACTCAGAAGAAGAAGAAGAAAAAAAAACAAGATCAGTACCAAAGAGAAAAACAAAAGATAAAAAAAAAAAAAAAACAGAAAAGAAGAAGAAGAAGAAAAAGAAGAAGAAGAACGGCGAAAAAAGAAATTTGCAAAGAGAGCGCAGCATCCCTGGGCTGAAGACCGCAGAATCCACAGCATCAACGTCTGGATTGAGATGATGATGAATGGAACTGCAGGATCGTGTGGCTGGAGTAACTGCCTGTCTCGGCGTCCAAATGAGGGATGGAAGGAGGGAGAGAGAGGGAGAGAGATAAATAGGGAAGAGGGAGTTGAGAAGAGAAGGGAGGAGAGGAGAGGAGAGGAGAGAGAGAGAGAGGGAGAGAGAGAGAGAGAGAGAGAGAGAGAGAGAGAGAGAGAGAGAGAGAGAGAGAGAGAGAGAGAGAGAGAGAGAGAGAGAGAGAGAGAGAGAGAGAGGAGGGAGAGGGGATGAGAAGAGAAGGAAGGAATGAGGGAGAGGCAGAAAAGAGAGGGAGGGAGAGGGGATGAGAAGAGAAGGAAGGAAAGAAGGAAGAAAGGAAGGGAAGGGGAGAGTGGAAAAGAGAGAGAAAGAGAGAAGGGAGAAGAGGGGATGAAAAGAGAGGGAAGGAAGGAGGGGAGAGGGTGATAGTGGGAGAGAGAGAGGGAGAGGGAAGAGGGCAATGAGAAG